TTCCTCTAGGGTCTGAGGCCCTGCCACTTTCCCCTTCACTCATTCAACTCCAAACGCACTGGCCTCTGTGCCATTCCTCAAACATGCCAGGCAAACTCTGACCTCCCAGAGCTTTTGCACTTGCTGTTCTCTGTCTAGAACAGAAGTTGACAAATGTTTTTCTATAAACAGCCAATTAAGAGACATTTTTGGGCCAGGCATAGTGGCTTAGGCCTGTAATCCCAGCACTTTGGGAGGCTGAGGCAGGTGGATCACTTGAGGTTAGGAATTTGAGACCACCCTGGCTAATATGGTGAAACCCCATCTCCCCTAAAAATACAAAAATTAGCCATGCGTGGTGGTGGGTCCCTGTAATCCCAGCTACTCGGAAGGCTGAGGCAGGAGAATTGCTTGAACCCAGGAGGTAGAAGTTGTAGTGAGCCAAGATCATGCCACTGTACTCCAGCCTGGGCAACAGAGCAAGACTCCACCTCAAAAAAAAAAAAAAAAAGAGTCATTTTTGGCTTTGCATTCATAACATCTCTGATGAAACTACCCAGCTCTGCATTGTGACACAAGGCAACCACAGATGATGTATAAAGTAACAGGTGTGGCCAGAATTGGCCCTCAGGCTGTCATTTGCCAAACCCTGGCCTAGCATGTAGGAGGCCCTTCAAAAGCATTTACTGAAAGAATGAATCAATGAATGGATAAACTATACCCAGTGAGGACTGAGGCCTGTGCAGAGCAAGGAACAATACAGGTGAAAACCACATGCACTCACCAACACCCCATCCCACCCCTAACGCCACCTCTCAGCCTTTGCCTCCCATGGACTCCCTCTTCCTATTACACCAACCTCCTGTTTGTCCTGTATGCAATGAGGCCACGCCCACCTTTCAGACCCTCTCAGGGTAGGGAAGTGACAGCAAAGCAGATACAATTCTCAAGACTCTGATTTCGTGCAAATGTCCTCAGTAATAAAACAGGTGGAAATTGAAATACATAAAATAGATGATACAGGAGCTAAATGGCATCTAAATAGACTGGAGCTGGAGTTTTCCATAAGGTGTCCCTGAGTCTTTAACATGCAAATGAGTTGCTTCCCTCAGGGTATTTTAAAAGACGCTGTCAGGCGTGAAATATGTCTGTCAATGAAAAACACCTTTGATTATTAAACTCTTCGTTAATGAATCACCTGCCCTGTTCTGTTTACTTGCCTTTTTGACTTTCACCTGAGTCCCCTCTCCTAACAGTACATACCTTACAGGGGGTCTGAGGCCACCAAGACCCTTAAACCTAAGCGCTAGATAATAACACTAGCAATAACTAGCCTTTATATTAAAATAGAGCCCTTTACACTCAGCTCATTAGCTACTCCACACAACCCTGTGAGGAGAGACAAATATTATTACCATCCCCAGGTATAAATGAGGAAACCAAGGAACAGAGAGGGTGAGTGATTTGTCCTGGGTGGCTCAGCTAGTAAAATGGCTAAGAGCTTGAGCAGGGACTTTCCACTCATTCCAAGTATTCGGCCTTCTCTTTATGACAAGTAACCTCTTTGATAGGGACACGTGGACTCCTGTTCACTAAAGTTCTTACTACTGTTTGTTCTCAAGTAAATGCAACAGTTGCTATGGGCAGGGACTATGATTTCTGACCCAGTGCCAGGCATGTGGGAGGCACTGTTTGTAGCCCCAAAAATCAACAGCATGTCACAAGACCTCCAATGTCTCCCACTAGAAACAAGCCATTTCAATCTATCAAATGTTTAGGAGAGCTGCAAAGCTGACATAGCTGTTTTACCATCAAATCAATGACCAGAACGGAATCCATCTCGCTGGACCACAGGAAACACCCCAGTGGGTCATGAAATCAAGCAACAGGAGAGTCTAGAACATTGTACAAATGGGAAGTTGATGTTCACACGAAATGTCCATCCCCTCGACTGAACCAAGCACTTTCTGTTCATCGGAGTCAATGAGGGGCTAGGCCTTTTCCGTTTCCATCCATTGGCAGCCCTCACCCTAGCTCACATTTCAGGACTAAAGGCCTAGAATCACCTCTCCCTGTTTGGTGCACAAACGAGAATTACTCCGGAGAAAAGGCAATTAGGTCTCTAGTTCCATGAAAAGCGACCATGGTGTCCTTCCATTTCCTAGAGAGACTATTAGACCAGTGAGCATTATTTCTTCTAGTCTGCCCCAAAACTGAAAAAAAGACCCAAAAATACCCTTGGAGAGAGTGACTGGGTCTTCAGAAGAACCTGATCCCCGATACGGATAGAAAGCACCCAAGGTGGAGGATGCCATCATGCCTCAAATCTGGAAAGACGCCAAAGTCAATAGCAAGGGACTGTGTGAGGTTGGCCTGAGCAGGTTTACAGTTGGCCCTCCCTAAGATAATAATACAGTCCAATGCAGGAACCAAATTTTAATCAAACTCCCTTTCCTAGTGTTTGATGCCCAAGCACTCTGGTGCTTAAATCAATGTTGATTAAATAAAGGAATCCTGGGAGGCTGAGGCAGAAGAATCAGTTGGACCTGGGAAGTGGAGGCTGCAGTGAGCCAAGACCGTGCCACTGCACTCCAGCCTGGGCAACAGAGCAAGACTCTGTCTCAAAATAAATGAATGAATGAATGAATGAATCCCTGACTGACGCCAAGATCCCAGAGTAGACAATGAAAATAAGTCTCACCCAGGCAAGGAATGGAAATTCTCCGTTCAGTCCATCCTAGGGAAGGCGGACTGAGGGAGAAGAGGGCAAAGCCAGATGCAAAGAGCAAGCAGCAGGTAAGAGAATGAGTGAGCTTCCAATGGGAGAGCTACAGTGTCAAGCACTTATTAAACGCACCACTAGATTCCAAGGTACATGCTATTGAAGCTTCAATCTATGGATAAAGAAGTGGTGTTTTAGAAAAGGTAGAAAACTTGGCCAAGGAGCTAGTAAGTGATAGAGCCAGAACATGAATCCATGTATGACTGCTCCCACCAAGAGAGCAAAAAGTGCACACAAACAAGCAACTTGCTGGGCCCTGAAACAGGCCACTGGAGTCCTTGCCACACGGAAATCTTTCTTTTTTTTTAAGACAGGGTTTCACCACGTTGGTCAGGCTGGTCTTGAACTCCTGACCTCAGATGATCCGCCTGCCTTGGCCTCCAAAGTGCTTGGATTACAGGCGTGAGACACCACGCCTGGCCTAGCCACATGGAAATCTTAACTCAGGAGGCATATTCAGTGAGTTACCCCGACGAAGAGATGGATGGCTAACCCAACTAACATTTTTTTTTTTTTTTGATACAGGGTCTTGTTCAGTCGCCCAGGCTGGAGTGCAGTGGTACGATCTCGGCTCGCTGCAGCCTCCATCTCCTGGGTTCAAGCAATTCTCCTCCTCAATCTCCTGAGTAGCTGGGACTACAGGAACACACCACTATGCCCAGCTAATTTTTTTATATTTTTGGTAGAGACAGAGTTTCATCATGTTGGCCAGGCTGGTATGACCTCAAGTGATTCACCTACCTCAGCCTACCAAAGTGTTGGGATTACAGGTATGAGCCACTGAGCCTGGCCCCAACTAATATTCTTATAGGTCCTTTGTCTGACAAGAAAATGACTGCATATCAGAAGGTAAGAAAATGCACACATTCAGTCTGGGCGTGGTGGCTCACACCTGCAATCCTAGCACTTTGAAAAGCTGAGGCAGGCGGATCACCTGAGGTCGGGAGTTCGAGACCAGCCTGACCAACATGAAGAAACCCTGTCTCTACTGAAAATGCAAAATTAGCCGGGCATGGTGGTGGGCACCTGTAATCCCAGCTACTTAGTAGTCTGAGGCAGGAGAATGGCTTGAACGCAGGAGGCAGAAGTTGCAGTGAGCTGAGATCACACAATTGCACTTCAGCCTGGGCAACAAGAGTGAAATTACATCTCAGAAAACAAAAAAGAAAGAAAAGAAAATGCACACTCTCCTAGCACAAATTGCACATCCCTGAGGCCGGCTGAGAAATTACCAAGCAAAGAATGACACAGTAAGGTAGAATATGATGTAACCAGGAAAAATGGCAAGTATAGACTACATGAAAATCTATATATAAAGTAATATGGAGGGAATTAACAGTGCCCCAAGTAATATGCACATATTTACAATTACCAAAAAAAGGAAAGCTGGCAAATATAGACAGAAAGACCCATAACCAGCTGTGAAGAGATAGTGCTTTAAGTTCACAGGATTTTTTTCCTATAAAGCAGTGCCACTCAAAGTATGGTCCCCAGACCAACAGTAACTGCATTCCCTGGGTGTATGTTAGAAATGCCAATTCTTGGTCCTCGTGCCAGACTTATGGAAATTTTAGGGATGGGGTCCAATATCCTGTTGTAACAAGCTCTTCAGGTGACCCTGGTGCGTTTGAGAACCACTGTAATAAGAAAATTATTTTATTTCTTTTCTTTTTTTTTTTTTTGAGATGGAGTCTCACTCTGTTGCCCAGGCTGGAGTATAATGGCACGATCTTGGCTGACTGCAACCTCCGCCTCCCAGGTTCAAGTGATTCTCCTGCCTTAGCCTCCAGAGTAGCTGGGAGGGATTACAGGCACACAACACTATCCCCGGCTAATTTTTGTATTTTCAGTAGAGGCGGGGTTTCACCATGTTGGTCAGGCTGGCCTCAAACTCCTGAACTCGTGATCCGCCCGCCTCAGCCTCCCAAAGTGCTGGGATTACAGGCGTGAGCCACCGTCATTTTTTTTTTTTTTTTAATAGAGATGGAGTCTCACTATGTTGCTCAGGCTGGTGTTGAACTCCTGGCCACAAGCAATCCTCCCATCTTGGCTTCCCAAAGTGCTGGGATTACAGGCATCAGTCACCACAGCCAGCCCCAAAAAAATTATTAAAACATATGAATACACAGATAAAGTCTAATTCACTTCAACTTTGCAAATATTTCTTGAGCACCCACTAAGTGCCAAGCATCATGGAGGTAATCAATAAATACTTGTTGAATGACTTTCTTGTTCGTAGAAAGTAAATGCCACTTAACCCTGGGAGAGGGCTGTTCTAGGCTGCTCTCCACACACACTGGCTGCTGCTAGCAGGTATCTATTGTGTGATCCGGAAGCTTTGAGTAGCACTGCAATATGCTGGAGATAAGTAGTGCTCCGGGGCACGTCGCAAGGCGGGGTGGAGGGCCAGGATATGTGCATCTCCCCCTGCTCTTGCCCAGACCACGCTACAGCTCCAGCTGCTTCGGCCTCGGAACCCACAGGGCCACCACGGGGTGAAGGTGTCTGGGTGAGCCACCTCCGGCCCTCCTCCGGCTCCGGCCCTCCTCCAGCTCCGCCCACTCAGGTGCCTGAAAGACACCAAAGTGGACAGGCCACATGAAAGCTCACTAGTGTGCCAAGCTGGAGAAGTCACTGCAGGGGGGCGGGACACTGCGAGTCACCCGAGCCACGTGGCCGCGCGCCAGGCCCAAGTAACAAGGTCACGGGGCTAGGGTTCGTTCCCCCACGGCGCCTAGGGCGGCTGCACAGCTGAAGCAGAGGCCGGCGCCCGGCGTGTCCACACCGGTTCTCCCGTGCTCCACGCGCGGTGCGGCCCTGCCAGCCTAGTCGGCCCGAGCTCTGCGCCGACCTCCGGCGGGCTGCCCCTACTCACCCCGAGGGAAGCAGAGCCGCGGCGCCCGGCTTCCCGCCGCAACCAGGTAGCGGGGAATTCGCAGGGAACCGGGACGGCCACCTGACTGCGCTTAGTGAAGCCGAGGCGCGCGAGGCCTGCTGGGACTTGTAGTTCCTGGTTGCCCACGCCGCGGTTCCGCTGCCGGCACCGGGGAGGCAGAGGGGTCTCAGGCCCTTACTCCGTCAGGTCGCCCTGTTGCTTTGCCAGAGCGGCGGACTTGGAATCTTACTGAAATGCTTTTTTTTTTTTCTTTCATGATTCAGTCCCCGTAGAGACTGCCACAAATTGCCAACGCCGACTATATTTCAAGTCGTCATAGCGGGGTATTGGGAAAAGTTTTCAATTAGCAATAATCGCGCCTTGGACAAACCTCCTTGGCTACGATACTGCGCAGGGCTCTTACTGAAATATTTTCTTCAAGACATTCTAACTAGGTGTTAGGTTCGTGTTAAATGAATGATAGAGTGGATTTGTAGGGTGTTTTTGGTTTTTTGGGTTTTTTTGGAGACCGAGTCTTGCTCTGTCGCCCAGGCAGTGCAACCAATTTTTTTTTTTTTTTTTGAGACGGAGTTTCGCTCTTGTTACCCAGGCTGGAGTGCAATGGCGCGATCTCGGCTCACCGCAACCTCCGCCACCTGGGTTCAGGCAATTCTCCTGCCTCAGCCTCCTGAGTAGCTGGGATTACAGGCACGCGCCACCATGTCCAGCTAATGTTTTGTATTTTTAGTAGAGACGGGGTTTCACCATGTTGACCGGGATGGTCTCGATCTCTTGACCTCGTGATCCACCCGCCTCGGCCTCCCAAAGTGCTGGGATTACAGGCTTGAGCCACCGCGCCCGGCCAATGTTTTTGTGTTTTTAGTAGAGATGGGGTTTCACCATGTAGGTCAGGCTGGTCTGGAACTCCTGACCTCAAATGATCCGCCTGCCTAGACCTCCCAAAGTGCTGGGATTACAGGCATCAGCCACCGTGCCCGGCCTTGTAGATTTTATTGATTCATTCATTCATTCGTTTTTGTTTTTGTTTTGTTTTGTTTTTGTTTTTTATTTTTTATTTTTAAAGACGGGGTTTCACCATGTTGGTCAGGCTGGTCTTGAACTCCTGACCTTAGGTGATCCGCCCGCCTTCGCCTCCAAAGTGCTTGGATTACAGGCGTGAGCCACCACGCCCGGCCCATTCATTCCTTTTGAGACAGTCTCCCTCTGTCGCCAGACTGAAGTGCAGTGGCACCATCTGGGTTCACTGCAACCTCCGCCTCCCAGGTTCAAGCTATTCTCCCACCTCAGCCTCCTGAGTAGGTGGGATTACAGGCGTGTGCCACCACACCTGGCTAATTTTTTGTATTTTTAGTAGAGATGGGGTTTTGCCATTTTGCTCAGGCTGGTCTTAAACTCCTGAGCTCAGGCAATCCACTAGCCTCACCCTCCCAAAGTGCTAGGATTACAGGCTTGAGCCACAGTGCCTAGCCGTAGATTTTAAAGAAGATATTAGATATTAAATAAGTCTCTTACAATACTGTATTTGAATTTGTACAATTAGATTACATATTAAGATATTAAAATTAGGTGAAGAAGAAATTTACTGACGATTGATGAATGATAAAAATATAAGAATATCACACTATTGCACTCCAGCCCAGGCAACAAGGGCGAAACTCCATCTCAAAAAAAAAAGAATATGCTGGCCAGGCATATTGAGACTTCATCTCAAATTAAAAAACAAAAACAAAAAAAACCACTTTAGTGCAAAGCATAGCCAAAACACTCTTGAAGAAGAAAAATGTGTTTCAACAACTTGCCCTTCCATATCTACATGTATTATAAAGCTATACAAATTAAAACCACATGATACTGGAATAGGGAAAGGCAGAGGGGGAAATGGAACCACCTACAGGGCCCAGAAACAGATGCAGGCATCTATGAAATGAGATCTGGCTGGAATTATAGTTCGAGGGAAGATAGACTATTCAGTACCTGGGCTGGAACAAGCAGTTATCTGTTGGATCCCCTATGCAAAAACTAATTCAAGGTAGATTAAAGATTTACAGGGGAAATTAAAGCATTTTAAAATTACAACTTTTTTTCTTCTATCATTCCCCCAAAATTGTAACTTTTTCTTTTTTTGCAATAATGAGTTATCCCAGAATTAATTATTGAAAACACATGTTCCCTGACATGTATATGAAATACTACCTTTTTATATTGGATAATTCTCTGCTCTATTGATAGATCTCTTCATTTTGTTTTAAATATTGTATCTTTTAATATATTATTTTTAAATTTGTCCTTTTTATTGAAAAGTCATCAAGAACATTCTTTTTTTTTTTTTTTTTTTTTTTGGTTTTGTTGTCCTTTTTTTTTGGTTTTTTGTTTTTTCAGGGTTTGGCTTGGCCACAGCAAAGGAGGGCAAAGAAAGAAAACTCCTGGAATTTTCTGCTCCTTTTTTTTTTTTTTTTTTTTTTGAGAGAAAGAAAAGAAAAAGGAATTAAAAAAAAGGAAGAAGGAGAGGAAGAAAGAGGAAGAGGGAAAGAGAATGGGAGTGTTGCTTTATTGCCTGGGCTAGAATGCAGTCTAAAAATGGGTATTGAAAACCTCTTTTATGCTTAATAATGAAAACAGGAAAAAAAAAAAATGAGGGAAGAAAACAACAAACAAGCAGCCAATCAATATTTCATTTAAACCTGTGAGTAGGTGTGATGAGGTACTGATAAGAGTGTGTATTTTGTGTATTTAAAGTGGAGAGTTCTATAAATGTTTATTAAGTTTACTTGTTCCAGATCTGAGTTCAAGTCCTGGATATCCTTGTTAACTTTCTGTCTCATTGATCTGTCTAATATTGATGTTGAAGTCTCCCACTATTATTGTGTGGGAGTCTAAGTCTCTTTATAAGTCTTATGTATCTGGGTGTTCCTGAATTGGGTGTGTATATATTTAGAATCGTTAGCTCTTCTTGCTGCATTGATCCTTTTACCATTATGTGATGTCTTTCTTTGCCTCTTTTGATCTTTGTTGCTTTAAAATCTATTTTATCAGAGGTGAGAATTGCAACTCCTGCTTTTTATTTATTTATTTATTTATTTATTTTTGCTCTCCATTTGGTTGGTAAATCTTTCTCTATCCCTTTGTTTTGAGTCTTTGTGTATCCTTGCATGTGAGATGGGTCTGGATGCAGCATACTGATGAGTTTTGGCTGTCTTTTGATTGAGGGGTTTAGTCATCAGTTGATATAGATTCTTCATTATAAAGATATTCTTTATCTTTTGGTAAGTTTTTGGGATGACTGATACTGGTTGTTCCTTTCTGTGTGTAGTGCTTCTTTCAGAAGCTCTTGTAAAGCAGGCCTGGTGGTGATGAAATCTCTGCGTGCTTGCTTGTTCGTGAAAAATTTTATTTTTCCTTCATTTATGAAACTTAGTTTGGCTGGATATGAGATTCTGGGTTGAAAATTCTTTTCTTTGAGGATATTGAATATTGGCCCCCACTCTCTTCTAGCTTGTAGGGTCTCTGCTGAGAGATCTGCTGTGAGTCTGATGGGCTTCCCTTTATGGGTAACCTGACCATTCTCTCTAGCTGCCCTCAGAATTTTCTCCTTTATTTCAACCGTGGTGAATCTAACGATTATGTGTCTTGGGGTTGCTCTTCTTGAGGAATATCTTTGTGGTGTTCTCTGTATTGCCTGGAGTTGAGTATTGTCCTGCCTTGCTAGATTAGGAAAGTTTTCCTGAATAATATCTTGAAAAATATTTTCCAGCTTGGATTCATTCTCTTTATGACATTCGGGTACACCTATCAAACGTAAATTAGGTCTTTTCACATAATCCCATATTTCCTGTATACTTTGCTCATTCCTTTTTACTTTTTCTTCTCTGATCTTGTTTTCTCCTTTCATTTCATTTAGTTGGTCTTCGACCTCTGATATCCTTTCTTCTGCTTGATCAATTCGAGTATTAAAACCTGTGCATACTTCGTGTAGTTCTTGTATTCTTCAGTTCCATTAATTCACTTATATTCCTTTCTAAATTGTCCATTCTCGTTAGGATTTCATCAAACCTTTTTTTCAAGGTTCTTAGTTTCCTTACATTGGGCTAGAACAGGTTCCTTTAACTCACAGAAGTTTCTTATTATCCAATTTCTGAAGCCTAATTCTGTTATTGGAACCCACTCATTCTCCATTAGGGCTTGTTCCCTTGTTGATGAGGAACTGTGATCCACTGTGGAGGGAGAAGCATCCTGGTTTTGAGTACTCTCAGCCTTCTTAGGCTGTTTTCTTCCCGTCATTGTAAATTTACCCACCTGTCGTTTTTGTAATTACCGACTTTCAAATTAGGTCTCTGAGTGGACATCCAACTTGTTGATTCCCAGTGTCAAAATCCGAGCAACGCACTGTGCTGGCCAAAACAGCGGTGCCAAGACTCCTGGTGTTTTTCTGCCCGGGAATCTCCGGTCTGGCTTCCCTCCTGGGTCTCCCTTTCAATCAGCTCAATAGGCGACTCTGCCTTCCCGGAGCTCCAAACATCCGCCAAAAAGGGAACCAGTCCCATTCACTCCCACACCGGGAACCGCCGCGCCAGGGAGCCGGCAAAACCATCACGCCGGCCACAAGAGTCGTGCTGGCGACCCTTGGGGCTCCTCCGCTGGGAATCTCCTGGTCCGTGAGCAAAAAAAGTTCGCCTGAAAGTGTGGCGTCTTCTCCTTCTCTGCGCTTTCACTTGGAGCTGCAATCCCGAGCTGTTAGTAATCGGCCATCTTGGATCTCTCTCCAAAATTATAACTTTTTTTTTTTTTTTTTTTTTTTTTTTGAGACGGAGTTTCACTCATGTTACCCAGGCTGGAGTGCAATGGCGCGATCTCGGCTCACCGCAACCTCCGCCACCTGGGTTCAGGCAATTCTCCTGCCTCAGCCTCCTGAGTAGCTGGGATTACAGGCATGCACCACCATGCCCAGCTAATTTTTTGTAGTTTTGGTAGAGACGGGGTTTCACCATGTTGACCAGGATGGTCTCGATCTCTTGACCTCGTGATCCACCCGCCTCGGCCTCCCAAAGTGCTGGGATTACAGGCTTGAGCCACCACGCCCGGCCCAAAATTATAACTTTTAAAGAAAGGAAAACATCCTTATGATCTCAGGGTAGGGTTTATTAAGTGCCATAAGCATAAACTGTAAAGAAAACTTTTTTTTTTTGAAATGGAGCCTCACTCTGTCACCCAGGCTGGAGTGTAATGGCGTAGTCACAGCTCACTGCAACCTCTGACTCCCAGATTCAAGCGATTCACCTGCCTCAGCCTCCTGAGTAGCAGGAACTGCAGGCGTGTGCCACCATGCCTGGCTAATTTTTGTATTTTTAGTACAGACGGGGTTTCACTATGTTGGCCAGGCTGGTCTCAAACTCCTGACCTTGTGATCCTCCCACCTCGGCCTCCCAAGGTGCTGGGATTACAGGCATGAGCCACTGCGCCCGGCCCAAGAAAACTTTGATAAATTTAAACTACAGTAAATTTAAGCACTTGTCTTTATTGAAAAGCAACATAGACTGAGCACAGTGGCTTATGCCTGTAATCACAACACTTTGGGAAGCCAAGACAGGAGAATACCCTGAAGCTGGGAATTAGAGACCAGCCTGAGAAACGTAGTGATACCCTTTGAGACTACAAAAAATTTAAAAATTAGCTGGGCATGGTGGCATGTGCCTGTAGTCCCAGCTACTCTGGAGTCCAAGATGGGAGGATCGCTTGAGCCAGGAGTTAGAGGCTGCAGTGAACTATGATGGATCTTGCCACTGCACTGCAGCCTGGGCAACAGAGAGAGAGCTAAACCCTGTCTCTAAAAAAGAAAAAAAAGATAATTGCAACGTAAAGGCATCGATACTATAGAGTTAAATAACACAGCCCCCACCATCTAAAGTTTGCTATGTATAAGCATTAAGATAAGAAGATTAATAACTTCCAAATAATGTGAGAAGTGTTAAAATTGAGGTATGAACAAAGTTGCTTAGGAATAGAAAAAACGGAGCATTTAGGCCAGGCGTAGTGGCTCATGCCTGTAATCCCGGCACTTTGGGAGGCCAAGGCAGGCGGATCACTTGAGATCAGGAATTCCAGCCCTGTCTCTACTGAAATAACAAAAATTAGCCCGGCATGGTGTTTCAGGCCTGTAATTCCAGCTGCTCGGGAGGCTGAGGCAAGGGAATTGCTTGAACCTGGGAGGCAGAGGTTGCAGGGAGCTGAGATCATGCCACAGAACTCCAGCCTGAGCAAGACTCTGTCTCAAAGAAAAACAAACAAAAAGATGCAATGGATGCAATTAAATACAGTAATTAAATACAGTAATAGACATAAAGATATTTATTTATGATCTCAGGTGATTTGCCTGTCTCAGCCTCCCCAAGTGCTGGGATTACAGGCGTGAGCCACTGAGCTGGACTGAAATATTTAAATTAAAATTGAAAACCTAAAACCTCAGAGAGAGAAGATGCAATAAACACAGTAAACACTTAAATTTTTTCGACAAGAAACTATAGGTTAAAAAAGAACTTAATTTGGTTACTATAACTGAACTAAGTGGAGCTATGGAATTGTTACTTGCACTCAGGCTAGTGGTTAACCCTGAGGAATGGGGACCGAGGTGGGGAAATAAGAGTACTTTCAGTTTACACTCTGGTCCAGTTACTGTCCAGCATTGTAAGAGACCAGAGTGTAAACTGAAAGTACTCTCATTTCCCGGTTCATTGTACAAACAATGAATGTGTAAACCTTTATACTAAAAATTAAGGGGCCGGGTATGGTGGCTCACACCGGTAATCCCAGCACTTTGGGAGGCTGAGGCAGGCAGATTCCCTGAGGTGGGAGTTCAAGATTAGCCTGGCCAACATGGTGAAACCCGACTCTACTAAAAATACAAAAGTTAGCCCGGCATGGTGGTGCGAGTCTATAATTGCAGCTACTCTGGAGGCTGAGGCAGGAAAATCGCTTGAAACTGGCAGGCGGAGGCTACAGTGAGCAGAGATCGTGCCACTGCACTCCAGCCTGGGCAACAGAGCAAGACCCTGCCTCAAAAATAAAAAAGATACGTGGTGGCTCTTGCCTGTAATCCCAGCATTTTGGGAGACCGAGGCGGCTAGGTCACTTGAGGTCAGGAGTTCAACACCAGTCCGGGCAACATGGTGAAACCCTGTCTCTACTAAAAATACAAAAGTATTAGCCAGGCGTGGTGGCACATGCCTGTAATGCCAGCTACTCAGGAGGCTGAGGCAGGAGAAACACTTGAACCCGGGAGGCAGAGGTTGCAGTGAGCCAAGATCATGCCACTGCACTCCAGCCTGGGTGATACAATGAGATTCGGTCTCAAAAAAATAATAATAAATAAAATAAAATAATAAGGGCCAGGCACAGTGGCTTATGCCTATAATCCCAGCACTTTGGGACACCAAGGTGGGAGAATCACTGGAGTCCAGGAGTTGGAGACCAGTTTGGGCAACATAGTGAGACTCCCATCTTGAAATAAATAATAAAATTAATTATTTAAGCTTGGAACAGTAACTGACACCTGAAATCCAAGTGAGTTGAGACGCTAAGACAGGAGGATCATTTGAAACCAGAAGTTCAGGACAAGCCTGGACAACAGAGTGAGATCCCTGTCTCTCTTCCCCCGCCCCCCACCCTCTCAACCCAGCTTTTCCCAACCCCAGGAAGAAGTGGGAAGAGAAGGCCGAGATCCCTGTCTCTAAAAAAAAAATGAAAATAGGCCGGGCGCGGTGGCTCATGCCTGTAATCCCAGCACTTTGGGAGGCCGAGGCAGGTGGATCCCGAGGTCAGGAGATCGAGACCAGCCTGGCCAACATGGTGTAACTAAAAATGCAAAAAAATTATGTGGGCATGGTGGTGCATGCCTGTAGTCCCAGCTACTTGGGAGGCTGAGGCAGAAGAATTGCTTGAACCCAGGAGGCAGAGATTGCAGTGAGCCAGGATCACACCACTGCACTACAGCCTGGGCAACAGCGGGAGACTCCATCTCAAAAAAAAAAAATGAAAAAATCACCTGGAAAGCTTTAAAAGCCTCAGCCATATCCAGCACTGGCACCCCTTCAATTACTGGGAACGGGACTGAGTCACAGGTATTTTTTGTAAAGCTCCCTATAGGATTTCAATGCACAGCTGAGGTTAAAAAATCCTGATTTAGAGTCAAAGAATCTTCTTTGAACTGGGTGACTCACAGCAGGTTTTCTAATTTTGGCAGAGCTTTAGTTTCCGTCTTTTTTTTTTTTTCTTTTTTATTTCCCCACTAATAGAAACTATAGTTTCCGTCTTGATAAAATGGAGTTAATACTATTGTCAGTCCTACCTACCTCAAAGGTGCTTGTGAGGATCAAGTGCGATGGTGTGAGTACTTTGGAAGCTGAATGTTGCTGTTCAGAGGAGTGTCATGACACTGAGAAGAAAATCCACACTCTTTGCCTGACCCTCCTGGCTCTCCAGAGCCTGGCTCCACTCCCTCTGTCCGGCCTCGTTTCCCAGCCTTCTCTTCCCTGGCTGACTTCACTCCAATCACATCAGCTTTCTTTCTGTTCCTCAGTCTGCCAAGCTGGCTGCAGCCTGGGCAGCCATTACACTTGCTCTTTCCCCATATCTTCAATGGTCTGCTGCATCCTGGCAAACTGTTCTCTGTGCTAATGTTACCCTCCAAAGAGGCCATCATCAATTACCCCTATCTACCCACCCACCCCACATTCCCCGAGACACGCTCTACCTCCTTACACCGCTTCATTTATTAAATTTATTTAAATTCACATCAATACTTGAATTTTGCGGGGAGTGGTCAGTTTGGTACAGATGCTCTTTATTTTGTTGGACCTTATGTCCAAATATAAATGATTAAAGCTCAGGTCATTTCTTCTTCATGTCTTCCCATGTTACAGCAGTGGTACAGGCTCAATGTGAAGAGTCAGACTTGCTTTGTTGTTGTTTTTGAGACAGAGTCTCTGTCACCCAGGCTGGAATGCAGTGATGCCATCTCGGCCCACTGCAACCTCTGCCTTCTGGGTTCAAGTGATTCTCCTGTCTCAGCTTCCTGAGCAGCTGGGATTACAGGCACCTGCCACCACGCACGGCTAATTTTTTGTATTGTTAGTAGAGACGGAGTTTCGCCATGTTGGCCAGCGTGGTCTCAAACTCCCAACCTCAAATGATCCACCCGCCTTGGCCTCCCAAAGAGCTGGGATTACAGGCATGAGCCACTGCAACAGGCCTATGATGTGAAGAGTCAGACTTGTATTTTCAAGATCTCAAGATGCTTGCCTGTGGGTGAACTCTTTTAACTGTGCCAGTTTGTCACTTTTTATTACTTCCCAGATGGAGTGGAATACTTGAAATTTTATCACTGATTTGCCTAAATAGCTTTTGTCTGTTTTCTCCACTAAAAAATAAGCTCCATGAGAGCAGAGATTGGGCCCATGGTGCTTGGCACACAGTAGGTCCTAGGTGCTGAGGATACAGTGGTGAATACAGCAAGCTAAGTCTCAGCCTGTTATGATCCTGAATGTTTGTGCCTCCCCAAAATTCATATGTTGAAATCCTAATCCTTATGGTGATAGTAAAAGGTGGGGCCTTTAGGAGGTGCTTAGATCACGAAGACAGACCCTCATGAAGGGGATCAGTTCCCTTTCTAAAAGAAGCTCAGAGGGGACTTGTGTGCCCCTTCTGCCATGTGAGGACACAGCAAGAAGACATCATTTGTGAACCAAGAAAGTGGCCCTCAACAGACTCCAAATCTGCTGGTACCTTGATGTTGGACTTTCCAGCCTCTAGAACTATGAGAAATAAATTTCTGTTGTTTATAAGCGCCCCCAGCTGGACCGATGCTGCCCCTGTGAAGCATCATTTGGCTGGGGTGTAGGAAGAGGAATGTACAATACACAAGCAAAAAACTAACAGTTGCGTGATATCAAAAACCCTGGGAAGGAAAGAAGCAGGGTGTGGTAAAGAGTAACTGAAGGCCGGGAGAGTGGCTCACACCTGTAATCCTAGCACTTTGGGAGGCCAAAACGGGAGGATCACTTGAGCCCAGGAGTATAAGACCAGCCTAGGCAACATGGTAAAACCCTCTCTCTACAAAAGAACACAAAAAGTTAGCTGAACATGGTGGTGTGCACATGTAGTGCCAGCTACTTGGGAAGCTGAGGTGGG